AAGGAGGAATGCGATTGGGGAAGGAAGGAGGAATCGATTGGGAAGGAGGAATGCGATTGGGGAAGGAAGGGGGAATGCGATTGGGGAAGGAAGGAGGAATGGGATTGGGGAGGAAGGAGGAATTGCGATTGGGGAAGGAAGGAGGAATGGATTGGGGAAGGAAGGAGGAATGCGATTGGGGAAGGAAGGAGGAATGGCGATTTGGAAGGAGGAATGCGATTGGGAAGGAAGAGGAATGCGAGGAAGGAGGGAGGAATGGATTGGGGAAGGAAGGAGGAATGCGATTGGGGAAGGAAGGAGGAATGGGATGGGGATGGAATGATTGGGGAAGGAAGGAAATGCGATTGGGGAAGGAATGCATTGGGAAGGAATGCGATTTGCGATGGGGAAGAAAGGAGGAATGCGATTGGGAAGGAAGGAGGAAATTTTGCGATTGGGGAAGGAAGGAGGAATGCGATTGGGGAAGGAAGGAGGAATGCGATTGGGGAAGGAAGGAGGAATGCGATTGGGAAGGAAGGAGGAATGCGATTGGGGAAGAAGGAGGAGCGATTGGGGAAGAAGGAGGAATGCGATTGGGGAAGGAAGGAGGAATGCGATTGGGGAAGGAAGAGGAATGCGATTGGGGAAGGAAGGAGGAATGCGATTGGGAAGGAAGGAGGAATGCGATTGGGGAGGAAGGAGGATGCGAATTGGGGAAGGAAGGAGGAATGCGATTGGGGAAGGAAGGAGGAATGCGATTGCGATTGGGGCCGAGGAAGGGAGGAATGCGATTGGGGAGGAAGGAGGAATGCGATTGGGGAAGGAAGGAGGAATGCGATTGGGAAGGAAGGAGGAATGGGATTGGGGAGGAAGGAGGAATGCGATTGGGGATGAATGGGGAAGGAAGCAGGAATGCGATTTGGCGATGGGAAGGAAGGAGGAATGCGATTGGGGAAGGAAGGAGGAATGCGAGGAAGGAAGGAGGAATGCGATTGAATGCGAGGAAGGAAGGAGGAATGCGATTGGGAAGGAAGGAGGAATGCGATTGGGGAAGGAAGGAGGAAATGCGATTGGGGAAGGAAGGAGGAATGCGATTGGGGAAGGAAGGAGGAATGCGATTGGGGAAGGAAGGAGGAATGGCGATTGAGGAATGCGATTGGGGAAGGAAGAGAAATGGGGAAGGAAGGATGCGATTGGGAGGAAGGAGGAATGCGATTGGGGAAGGAAGGAGGAATGCGATTGGGGAAGAAGGAGGAATGCATTGGGAAGGAGGAATTGGGATTGGGGAAGGAAGGAGGAATGCGATTGGGGAAGGAAGGAGAAATGGAAGCGATTGGGGAAGGAAGCAGGAATGCGATTGGGGATGGAAGAGGGCAATTGAGGAAGGAAGAGTAATGGCGATTGGGGAGGAAGGAGGAATGCGATTGGGGAAGGAAGGAGGAATGCGAGGATGGAAGGAGGAATGCGATTTGGGGAAGGAAGGAGGGGAATGCGATTGGGGAAAGGAAGGAGGAATGCGATTGGGAAGGAAGGAGGAATGCGATTGGGGAAGAAGGAGGAATGCGATTGGGGAAGGAAGGAGGAATGCGATTGGGGAAGGAAGGAGGAATGCGAGGGGAAGAAGGATTAATGCGATTGGGGAAGGAAGGAGGAATGCGATTGGGGAAGGAAGGAGGAATGCGATTGGGAAGAAGGAGGAATGCGATTGGGGAAGGAAGAGGAATGCGATTGGGGAAGGAAGGAGGAATGCGATTGGGGAAGGAAGGAGGAATGCGATTGGGGAAGGAAGAGGAATGCAATTGGGGAAGGAGAATGCGCGATTGGGAGGAAGGAGGAAGGCAATTGGAAGAAAGGAATGCGATTGGGGAAGAAGGAATGCGATTTTGAAGAGGAGGCGATTTGCCAGGATTAATTTGGGAAGGAGGAGGATGCGATTGGGGAAGAAGGAGGAATGCGATTGGGGAAGGAAATGCGATTGGAAGGAGGAGGATTGGGGAAGGAAGGAGGAATGCGATTGGGGAAGGGATTGGGGAAGGATGGAGGATGCGATTGGGGAAGGAAGGAGGAATGCGAATTGGGGAAGGAATGCGATTGGAGGATGCGATTATGCATGCGATTGGGGAAGGAAGGAGGAATGCGAAGGAAGGAATGCGATTGAGGAATGCGATTGGGGAAGGAAGGAGGATGCGATTGGGGAAGGAAGGAGGAATGCGATTGGGAAGGAAGGAGGAATGCGATTGGGGAAGAAGAGGAATGCGATTGGGGAAGAAAGGAGGAATGCGATTGGGAAAGAGGAGGAATGCGAATGCGATTGGGGAAGGAAGGAGGAATGCGATTGGGGAAGGATTAATGCGATTGGGGAAGGATGGAGGAGTGCGATTGGGGAAGGAAGGAGGAATGGGATTGGGGAAGGAAGGATTAATGCGATTGGAAAAGGAAGGAGGAATGCGATTGGAGAAGGAAGGAGGAATGCGATTGGGGAAGGAGGAATGCCGAAGGAAGATGAATGCGAATGGGAAGGAAGGAAGAATGCGATTGGGGAAGGAGGAATGCGATTGGGGAAGGAGGAATGCGATTGGGAAAGGAAGGAAGAATGGGATTGGAGAAGGAAGATGGAATGCGAATGGGGAAGGAAGGAAGAATGCGATTGGGGAAGGATTAATGCTATTGGGGAAGAATGAATGCGATTGGAGAAGGAAGGATTAATGCGATTGGGGAAGGATTAATGCGATTGGGAAAGGAGTAGTGCGATTCGGGAAGGAAGGAGGAATGCGACCTGGGAAGACGTACCGACTGGAGCAAGCTCCTCCGGTGAAATTTCTGATTGTACGAAGGGTAGAAAGTTTTAACTTTAGGCCTTTATTGTACAGTTCTTATTTACTTTGTTTCATTGCATCTCAGGATATTCTATAGATGGAAATCAAAATACGTTTGCATTGTTTCTCGACTTTGGACAGCGTGTGTATGAAAAACATAGACATATGGTGCAATCTTGTTATTTTCGATTTTATTTATGGACTAAATATCTATTCTTCTTTTCGAATTCATTATAAGGAATTACTTGTTTTAGACAGCAAAATTTAGGTTTGATCAGAAGACATCTTTTTTTTTTTATCAGAAAATTTCCTGTGCAATCTGTCGTCAGGCCAGGAAGCCCTTGGCCTTGCCCGTCGTAAGGTTGCTGGCGTTGCATGATTTGCAATATGAATGACATAGCTCGATTAAGCTTCAGTTTCATTGTGTAGGAAATACTTGATTTGTAGGAAACTATTGTCTTTCTGACTTCGTTTGTGGTAATACCCATGCCGTGAGATTTCATGAAAAAAAATATTACCGCTTTTCTTTACATGTCCCAACACGCGCTAAAAGTTTGGAGTCAGGATGATTCACGGAAACCACTGGTGGATCTAAATAATTTCAAGGAGGGGAAGGAAGGGGGAGAGGTGGGACGGGGCCTGGGGGCGGATGTCGGTGTACCCGAATTTGAGTAAGATTTTACTCTGATTTATTTTTGCCTAAGCTTGAAGGCAGCTTCATTGTATTAATCTATTGCTTCTTCCAGCGACCTGGGCAGACCGATCCGAGTTTCACAAATGCACGTGGTTTATGTGATATATTCCAATCTCTCGGACGCGAACTTAGATATTAATCTTTTGTAGTAATACAAACACATATCGTCGTTGTAGAAATATATATATATATATATATATATATATATATATATATATATATATATATATATATATATACATATATATATATATATATATATATATATATATATATATATATAATATATATATATATGTATATATATATATATATATATATATATAATATATATATATATATATATATATATATATATAATATATATATATATATATATATATATATATATATATATAATATATATATATATATATATATATATATATCCATAAACACACACACACACACATATAGAGAGAGACAGAGAGAGAAATGATTCGGTTGCAGTGCCTCGGTCTGAGAGAAAGGCAGTGAAAAGTGATGATCGCTTGAGTGGGGTGCCAATGAGTCAGTGAGATGCCAAATTGTAGCAAAGTAGGCTTCTAACTGGATCAGTTCAGTTCAGTTCAGAAGTCATGCTTCGCTCGGGCCCTTTTCTCTAACTGTAAGTTTTTGCCCATGTTTAAAGTGTGGTGGAACAGGTTGGGGTCCCTGTGAGATTTGGGGGACGTAACCCCTGTGGCCCCTGTCATCTGCGGCCTCGTGAACCCTCGATCTTGAACTTTGTTACAGATATTTCGAGCTTGGTGCTTGGACTTAGGGAGAGACAATGAAATTGTGAGGAGCCAATGTGGTGGGATGTGCACCAGTGCTAATTAGTAAGCGCGTAGATGCTTTTCATGAAGGATCATCTTGGCACTGAACGGTCGCCTTCAAAGCCGGCATTGAAAAGCTGAAATAATTCTCACAAATGTGAACAACTGCTTCTGCTCAACAAAGCCGATTCATTATCACATCTGACGCATTGCTGTACATTTAGCACTCTTTTCTGTGACCACATCAGTTGGGCTCAAAAGGACAGCAACAAGAAAACATACATCCTTTTGTGGCACTAGTTCTTTGGAATTGTTCAGTTGTGAAGACTGAACATTCATTCAAACATTATAATACCTGAAAACGTATCACGTGGCCACAGCAGGACTGGTGACGCCAGTTCATGACGTCAGGCACTTCCTCGCCGGCAAACGCGCGCATATAAAAGCTTGCAATCACATCCACGTGCATCTCACACCTCTTGCACTTACGCCAAGTCGTATCACGACGCAGGTTAGCCATGAGTGTGCGTGATGGTTTGTCAGGAATAGACTTGAGTTCATGCATTTTAGTGTCGATATTTGCTTTGTGCAAGACACTTGATGGTAAAATCCTTGATCTGCATTAGCGACAATGTTCACTCACGCTAGAGAGGCTATAGTCACGACATCTTTAACCCACAGACGCTTCCATCATGAATACGTTGACGATCGTGTTTGGTGGCGGCATTCGCTGTAGTCGCGAGCGGAATGAAAGACGGCCATCCCAATGACCAGGAGTTCCACCACACTCTTCATGAAGGTGAGTCTGTGATCGGTGGACGCAATGAATACATATTGGGAAGCAGAATTGACCACTGTATGCCTTTGGGATTTTCTTTAGGAGTAATTCAAACTCTCCCTCTTCTTTCCAGCTAAAACGATGTGCATGGATATTATGATGCCATCCGAAGACGAAATGAGTAACATGAAAGAAAAAATGAAAGAGTGCCTCGAAAAAGAAGGTCACACCCATTTGAGTAAGTTATTATTATTATTATTATCATCATCATCATTATTATTATTATTATTTTAATCGACTAAATTAAGATATGTTGACAGCCATTTCAGGACTTTATTGTATATTTCTCAAGCAGACATCAATGCCATTGATGATTGCATGAGATTTCCCTTCGGACATGATACTAATCGCCTTTTTCTGGCCTTGGTCAGCTTCACACCCTGCCTTGGCTTCCGACAAGAAGCCCCCCTAAAGCACGCGCTGTGCTTCCGCGAAGAACTCAAGGGTATCTCGGCCGAAAGCCGAAGATTGGTGTCGCTGTGCGCCCTCGAAGACCATGGAGTCCTGGTACGTGTGTACTCACAAGTGCTAAATATTCGCATTGAGTTTCAGTATATAGTTTAACCATCTTAGCTTCCAGATGCTGGTGATGTAGAGGACCCCTTTGTTGTCTTTCTCTTCAGGATGGCGAGGAGGTCAACGTAACTAAGGTCATGGAACTTCTGCGAACAAAGATT